AGGTTAGCTCCTCTTCAAAGACCAGGTATTTTCCCCAGAGTCCTGAATCCCAGCCTTTGTGGAATTAAAAGGGTGGGGACCTGCAAAGGATCACAGTCAAATGAGGTTGGTAGTGCACGTCAGCCTGGACTCACGATGCAGGGATTCTTCTCTGTCTTCTCCAGTTCCTCTTGCTTGGTTGTACCCATTAGGAATAAACCTCAGAGTGGTGAAGTTGGAAAAAGCCCGTTTTTATTCTGTGACAAATTCGAAGTTAGCATTATGGATGTTTTGGGGTTGAGAGTCTGTGGAGACCCTTGCATGCTGTCTTCCAGATGAACCCTGTGATTCATTTTCCATATGATGGAAAAGCAGAAGGCAGCTGTCCTGCTGCTCTGTGTAAGCCAGTGCTTCCCACATGGATGTTACAGACATCACTGAGGGACGTCCTGCTGCTTTTCCCTTTCATGGTGCTGGGAAGAGGCTAGCTGTCCTCCATAGCAGACCAGCCCTGGAGAAGGAGCAGTCTTTTCCTCTGTGGTCCTTCCTTGTGATTTGACTGTATCAGTCCATCCTCCTGGAGGCAAGCTCTGTCAAGCTCTGAAAAGGTGTTGATTGTGACATTATAAAGAAAAGCATTAGCTTGGGGAACTACCTTGGGTCCAAACCACAAATCGCGCGGTGGACTTGCCTGTATCACAGTTCCTTGGGGTCCCTGGGTTCCCGAGTCAGGGAATGCTCACCTTTGCCTTTGCTGACAGGGTGTGGGTGGGTGCATGGCAGGGCAGTGGCCATTGCTCCATTGTGAACCTGCTTTGTGTGTGTTTCTGACTCAGCTCTGGAAACCAAGCTCTGGTTTTGAGAAGCCGCCTCCGACTCCCTGAGATGGTCAATCACCCGGCATTTGGGATCGTCTTTCAGTTGGAGTATGTGTTTAACAGCCCTTCAGGAGCAGACGGCAATGTAAGAATGATTGTTTTGTGTTTGGTTTTCATCTGATGATGGGCTCTGTGTGTTGAGAGGAAACTTACTGGCATTAATATTTTTGCCACTAAAAGCAGTATAATTATTATTAGTGATGTGAATAACAAGTGTGGAATATGATTTAAGAAACACTTCTTCCTAATGATAGTTTTGTAGTAATTATTTTCCATTGTGATGACAACAGTATTGAAAACATAAGAGAAAACAAGCTCAGTGTCTCCCACCGTACTCTCTCAACACACCTTAACACCAGGTTTTCCCCACACATCAAGCCGGCAGCCAGCTCCGCAGCACATACCAGCAGGATTTCTTCCAATTCACTTAAATCCCAACACTGCCAACCTGCTGAAAGTGCAAGATCCCACAGGTCAGGAGTTCAGTCCCCACAAGACTGCTCCTGACTTTGGATGGCAGTCTCAAGCCCTAGATTGTTTTACTTGTGTGTCTAACCAACAGCTGTAAATTGGGGTTCTCATGTGCTAGAACGACATCGAGGGGAAACACTTTATTTACATTTACCAGTTTATGATGAAGGACATTCAGAAGGATACAGAAAGATGCGTGGGGCAAGGGATGTGGCAAGGAGCTTGGAGATTCTGTGCTCTCTGGGTGTGGCACCCTCCGGGAATCTTTAGGTGTCTATTATCCAGGAACTTCCAGCCTAAACCCTCTAATCTTGCCTTGGTCTTTCTTTCCTGTGACCATCCTCCCTATGGCTTGTGGGGAGGGGCAACTTATTAGCATATAAAAAATACTTAACTGCTTTGATGATTCCAAGGATTTTAGGAGTTGTAAGCCAGGAAACCAAATAAATATTTCACAGTATCAAAAGTACATTCTGCTGGCTAGTAGTCATAAATAACTCAGTAAAATTTCATGTATTATAACATTATTGACTTGGAGCCAGCAGATGGCATAATGGTTATGTCTCTGGACTCCCATGTAGTCAACTGTGGTTTGAGTCCTGGAGCTGGTGTCTTAAAATTCACATTGGGGGCATGTGTGTGTGTGCCCAAAATCCCAAAAGGAGAGTGGAGGAGAAGGGATTGTAGCATGGCCCTCCCCCTGGGTGGTGATTTCTCACTTTCTGTCTCTCTGGCAAGTATACGCACCCTATAGCAAAAATGTCCCTCTGAAAAAGAAATATGTAATACTGATTCATAATTGTCAGAGTGATAATTATTTTGAAAAATAAGGCTATTTAATTGTATTTTTACATGGTGTCAAAGTGTAGTAAAGTTAGAATCTGCACAGGTGATAAGTGGTTTCATTCAGTGCATGTTACATGTACCTGTTTCATAACTAAGAGTTAGAGATAAGAGAGTGTGTTGATTTGGGCCCAGCTCTGGTGGCATATGCTGCTAAGATGCTGTGCTTTGCAGGGTGAGGCCATGTGGGAGGTTCACCTAAGGGCCAGGCATGGCGATGTGCCGTAATCTCAGTGACCCAGGAGGCTGAGGCAGGGGGACCATGAACTCAAAGCTGGCCTGGGCAACATAGGGAGGCCCAGTCTGACAAAACAAAAGGGTTGGGTGTGGTGGCATGCCCCTGTAGTCTCGGCTGGGAGGTCGAGCAGTAGGGTCATGACACAGTGAGACCCTGTCAAAAAAAACAATAAGAATTTATAGAGTCAATTGGAAAAAATATATTCTATAGGCCCCATTTACATAATTGATGTAGATCTTTTAAAAACTGAATTAATTAATTAATTTGCAGTCATTCACTGTACATCAATACAGTATACAAAATGAGATTTCCTATCCAGTATATATTGGCTCAATCAAAGATATCACCATACATGTTCTCATCAACAAATGATTTTCTATTTCTTGTATCTTATGTATTTTTTATTTTATTTTTTTCCCCTTGATGCTCCACCTCTCACCCTCTGCCAACTCCCTCCCTTCTCCCACACTGTCTCTGGTATATGCAATTGTTTTCCATGCCTTTTTTTCCCCTTACAATTTATTGATTCCTTAAAGATCTTAATTAATTTAAAGACTTTCAATAGTAAGCACAGCTGATATATACATATTTATGAACACATGTCTGACTTTAGGTGTAAACCTCAGTGAGTAAAGTGAACATATTATAAAGTAGCACCTTGCTGGGACTATATAGCTTACTGCAGTCATTAAACAGGTATTAATAGACATTTTTAAAATGCATTTTTTAATTTAAAAAACAACTTTTAGTTTTAATAGGTCAAAATAAAAAAATGCTAAGAGAAATTTGCTTAAAATTTAAAGCCAGGAAAAAGGTTAGGATTCAGTTCAAATAGTAGGTAGATGAACCTACCAAGAGTTTAAGAGAAGACAAAAATCCTTAAATATGGAAATCAAAGCATTGAAGAAAATCAGTAATGTTTTAGTCTAAAGTAAAAAAAAATTCTATTTAGGGGCCAGCAGGTGGCATGGTGGTTAAGGGCGTTGGATTCCCATATCCACATGGCTGACCATGGTTCTAGTCCTGGACCTGATGGCTTGCTTTTTCACTTTCTCTCTCTCTCTGTCCCTCTCTGGTCAAATGAAAATAAACAGATAAATAAATAAATAAAGATACATAAAATAATTAATTTAAACAAATTCTATTTCACTAGTTAAGACTCACATAATTAATCTCTCTTCTATTGAATTTGCAGTGTTACTATGGTCTGATCTTTCCATTTTAACTCTGGAAATTAACATTCAGCCTCAGTATTGTCCCCACCATTGGGCTGGCCATTCTCTTGGTTGTTTCTTGTACTCTTATTTTTATGTGACCAACTAGTTTTCCTGTTATAGCACTCCCTTCAGCACTTCTTAGAGAGCTGGTCTGGTGTTGGTAAATTCTTTCAGATTTTGTTTATCTGAGAATG